TCATTTTTTAACAAATATTTTATTATTTATTTTTGCCCATGTTGCCATTAGATGCAACTTTTACAATAACAAGTTCATTGATAACAGATAATATGGTAATATATCTGGATTTTATAACATTAAGTATGGTAAATGAACTAAATTTTTTTTTATTTATTTAGCTGTTTTATTTCCTTTTTCTTTTTCACTTGTTCTAATACTTCGTTTTCTCTTTTTAGGCTGATCTTCTTTATTTTCATCCGTTGTCTTTACATTTTTGTCAGAAAGTATTTCATTTTCTTCTTCATGATTGCTTTTCTGTTCTTCATTGTCATTCTCTGCTTCTAAGTTCAAGTCATTTTTTTGTTCAAAAGTTGGATTAATTTCTGCACTAGAGTTAGCAAAAACAAATGAGGTTTTAGAAGAAAATTGACAGTTGGACGTTTGCGTGGTACTGGATTCAGAATCATCGGCAATAATTTCAATAATTGAATGAGTCTTTTGTGATTTATCAGATAAAATTTCAGACATGGTGGAATTATAAATTGAAGATTTTTGATAATCGATATCTGTAGCTTCTATTAGCATTTTACCAGAATCAGAGAATTTGATGAACCCTGAGATAAGATAATTATTTGTTACTTTAATATTAATTCCTGATGAACCTAGATGCTTGAATCTCACGGACTGTAAAGAGTATAGAACAATCATTTCTATTTTGATATTGGTTGATCCAGTGACACCATTATATTCTACGCATTCCACTCCAGAATGGATGAATTCTTTGATTTTTTTTGGATTACGATTTATGTTAGTGGAAATCATAAGATGAGGATCACATACAGGGACACTTGTCATATCGAATTCACGGTTGGGTTTTTACTATCAATGATGTTGGCATATGCAACAGTTACACATTCCTTAGAATTTTTTACTACATATTTACTGGAAATAAATACAATATCTCTGGAATTGAATGGTTGAGGTGATTCGTTTAAGGAAAAAAATATTTCCATCTGATAGTATGTGAAATTTGATTAGAAAGTTTATATTTAGCATCCCATACGAACACAATCGATTATTCTTTGCTGAAATGATAACAATAAGAAGGGAAATATGTAATGGCATGTTTTCTTATAACCCTCTGTAAACTTATTAAGATTAAGGAAAAAAAAATTATACTGTTGAGGTCTGATTTTTATATAAAATAGCCTCCAATTTTTTTTCAATACATATGAATAAATTATAATACATAATGTGAATAATATTTATTTCTTATCGCTTTGAAAAAAAACCTCGATTCATAAGATTTTTTATAATTAGTTCCATGTAAATATATTATAATATTATTTCTGGCTTAAGACTTTTAACTAATTTATGGTCCAGACCATTATTCTTACATAAAGAAAGCATTTAATGAACCCCTAATTTTAGAAATCATACGATATTTTTACTGAAATACAAGATTGATTCTTGAAGGTTGATTATTTGCTAGCATGGTTAATTTTTGACTTTTAAGATTCTAAATTTGTCAGATTACTTGAAAATAATCTGTCTCAACTGTACTGTGTCTTGTTGATCATGCCAGTGATGTACTATGGATCTACTCTTAAAAAATTTATCCACATATTAATCAGTATATATTGAGCAATAATGTATCTAATTTTTGTGTAAAACCTGATCAACCCTTGCTTCTTATGGTTATTGCATAATTAACTAAATTTACATCTATATGAAAAAAATAACTCTTCCAGAAATAATCAGATTTAATATTACTGCTCTCACCATATAAATTACTTTTAAATTAAAATCTAAATCTTGAAACTTTCTTCTCAGTTAAAAATTTAATTGAATACTACAAATTTCGCATTACTATTATTTCAACATATGATTATCAGGATATTTGCCTGTGCTTCTACTAAAGCCTACTATGATAAATTATGAATTTTAATAACTAGTTATTTCTGTTTTCTTACCATGTTCTTTTTTTTTTTCTAATTATAACTAATCTACTCTTTTTTATTTCTTTGTTTTATTTAATGATACATTTAAGCCTGGGTATCTATCTCTGCATCCCGTTATCTTTATAAGATCTCTAACAATGAAATAATAACTGTGCTTGCTTCAATATTGGGTTCTGCCACCTATGATTTAAGTATAATTCAGATTAGTGAATAAGATTATAAAAGCAATAGTAAAGATGATT